GGGGGTGAAGGACCAGTGGCTATGACACTCCATGAGCAAGGGCATATGGCTTGGACGTGTGCTAGTGCCTGTCCACTAGTGACACTCTCCCTCCATGCAAACATAACACAGCACTGTTTTCCAGACAATAAAACCCTCAGAGATGAACCCTGCCATGTGTGTGCACGCCCCCCTCCCGCAGAGCCCTCACGCCTGGAAAACTGAATTGCACACCGCATCTTCAAAGCGGGTTCATGGTAAATATACTCCCACTTTTATCGCCTCTGTCCTCGATGCAGAACCATCGGGGAACACATTTTCTCAGCATTGGCCAATGTTACTGCTCAAGGGCCCTGCTTTCTGGAAAGACTCTTCGGAGAAGCAGGCCTGAGCCCCACGTGGCCTTTACAAGGGACAGGGGAACCAGGAGAACTGGAGTCAGCGGTCTCCTTACCTGGAGCCGTTCACCTGGTTCGGGTTACATTCCATCTTGATGGTGACCCTGGCCGGGGGTTGAGACAGCCAGTCCTGCTGAGGGACGCGCGGGCTCATCTTGGATGTCTGTCCATAGTCGCCGGAGGAGGACGCGGTCATGTCCGTCTTTGCCAGGTGCGGCGTCCCGTAGGCACACTCAAACAACGACTGGTCCTCGCTCACGACCGACAACGCTTCCTGCATGCCCAAAGAAACGCACAGTCAGGACGCAGCCGCACAGGCCCGCTTCCAGGAGCGGCTGACCCTGCATTCAGTTCTAACCGGGACCACGTTTTAGGCAGTTTTACGGTCTACCTTTCAGAAGCAAAAAGTAGCTGGTCTCCCTCCCTCCGGACCATAGGAGTTGGAACTGGGCGGCCTGGGAAAACTTTTATGCAGGTCTCCAAGCAGCCCGGGCTGGACTGCAGCAGTGCAGAGAACACCCACTTTAATCTCAACTCAAGGAAGTTGAATTTCAAAGGTCTTCGAAGACATCCAATTGCACGTGTCACTATTTGACAAATGCAATCTATAATTCAAGCAGACAGGGTACAGGATGGCCACGAAGATTAAAAAAAGAAAAGCGACGGCTCACACCTACGCATCTGGCACAACTGCCACATTCCCCGGGGATTCTAAGGAAGAGGCACTTAGGAGGAGAGTGGGGGGGACATGGGGCACCAAAGGACAGGCGCACAAAGATATGAGTTTTCCCACTTCGAAGTTATTAGCTGCAATAGACTTGCAAGTGGTGCGTCCGTGATGGCGAACATCTGGATGATAAATGAACCAAAAAAAAAAAAAAAA